CATTTCCATGGCAAGAAACTTCTTGAGTTCCATCGTCTAATAGAACTTCATGGCTGTAGAGCGGTTGATTAGTATTTCTATGAATGAGGTTAATGACATCACCATTCATTAAATGAGCCGAGTCGCTATCATCGGTGACGGGGTTATAGCATTGAAGAATCCAATCATCGTCACTGTTTTTATACCCGAAAATTGTCGCTAAGCGTTAAATTAATGATCGTTAATTAAAATTCATACGTATAAAGGGAAGTGTGAATTAGTTTAAAGAAATACCCTGTTGATGATTTGATTTTGGAGTTACATGTATTGGATGAGAATGTAAGTTTTCTCCCGTATCTTGATGCATAAGTCCAACAACGGAGATTGAGGATACAAGGCCTCCATCTTTCACGTTTACATTAAATGCACCAATAATTTTCCAGGCATCGTTTTTTGAGTCGATGTTTTGGCCAGTACAAACGACCTTAAATAAAACATATATGTATTAAGGTGTAACATTAACTAATGAATAAAATTAATAACAAATACCGCATATTGTCCGTGTTCGGGCAATGGGACTTTTTTAGTAGATAAGTATTTCCCGGTGGACATATGAACGAGGGAAACTTCTGATCCATATTTATTTTTCTTTCAACTAAATACAGTATGTTAGAAAAAAGAAAAGAATAAGCATCTGTACTTTAATAACATATTGCTTCACTTGGACGCTCAAGCTCACATTTTATCATGTTCGGTAATTGAAGTGGATACAGACTTTTTACTCGAGGAGGTAATTCCGATTCTAAGACTGACCTTGCTGATAAAATATTTGATTTTACCGGCTTATCAGGAAGCATCCAATGTTGTTTCAAATCATCCCAAAGTTGTTTTTCAAGAATTTTCTTGTATGGTTTAACTTTTTCCCAAAGATCCGCGCCAGTTAATTGGAAATAGCGAATGTGAGGTAAACAATTTTGTAAGGTAGTTTTTAAGGATAAAAAATCGTCATTCGACCATTCCTCAAGTTTTGAATGTAACGTAGGGTTTCTTGCAATTCCCCATTGAATAACTTTTTCCCATATTTGAATTTCTTTCAATTTAAGATCATCTCGTTTGATGAGAGAAATTAAAGCTGACTCCTGGAGAGAGGCGAAGTTATCATTGTCAAATATAATATTAGGATGTTTTGCTATTATATCATTGTAAAATTTCTCTAAATCCTCAAAGTGATTGCTTTTAAAGATTTGAGAGTAAACAGTTGAAAAGTGTGTGCGTAACCAAGAATGGTCTTTAATAAGGTGCTTTTCTAGTGGTGAGAACAATTCTTCCAATCCAAATTCACAAGCTAACATAGTTAAATTAAAAATGAATGCATTGCTTAAATCATCAAGAATGATGATTCCACTATAAATGTACCTATAATATAAAGCATATGCTAAGCCAATTAATTACTGTTTATATTGCAAAGGCTATTAAAATTAACTTACTTGAGGATAACATCAAATACTTCGGGTGATATATTTGTCAGCGAAAGATTTTTAATGTTATCCTTAATCTTGGACAATTCGGTGCGAAAATACGGCGATCGACAGAATAATACAGATGAGTGAGCAGTGAATGTTTTCTTGTTTTGGTCATCTTCAACTTCAATAATTGTATCATAGTAATCCTTATTGTTTAGGAGTTTAGTAAAATCTTGAGAAAGATTATCGACAAGTTTAATAGACATTTTTTTTTGATGTTCCTAGAATGCTTCCGTGGTTTCGAGAACATGTAACATTCCGATCATTACTGTAACTGTAAAACGAATACGTAAACATATTACGTATGTACAGTTTATCATGTGAAATTTCAACTACAGTATATTACAGTACTATACTGTAGTTGTAGGATTGTTATTGGCTTGAGTGGCTTGGCTTAGCTTTGAAAGCCACGGTTTAGCTTGAACTATGGCTCCAACAGCCTTGACTAGAGTTATTGTTCATAGATATAACTCGAGTCAGTTTCAATAGTCATAACTTAAGCTATACCTCTAATAGTTATAGCTTGGACCATATCTCTAATAGCCATAACTTGAGCCATGGCTCCAATAATCATTCCTTAAGCCATGGTTTTAATATCCATAACCCATACCATTTGCAAAAAAGGAGTGACTGTATGGCTGGTCTAGAAGCTAAAAAATTCGAGGGATAAAGTAACCTTGTATATGAAGTAAGACCACTCCCCGATTAAATTCTTGATTATGTTTAGGATTATGGTATGCTTAAACAGGAGGACGAAGAGATAATGGTAAAAACACAATTGAAGGAGTTGGATGATCCAGTCCTCTCAAATTATTACTTGCCTCTCAACAATTTATTCAATAAATAAAGGAACCATATACCGTTAGTTTACTTAATGTCAAAAATATCATTAAACCTAATAAGTTCTTTTACGAGTTTGCAAGATTGCCCACGGATTCGTAAGGTTTTGTCAAAGTACCCTTCTATAGCTGTGGATTTGCCTAGCATACAAGCTCGTTCATTTATTTTGGAATTAGGTCTTTGTTATCAGTCAAGATCGTATGGAAAGTCATCGCGTTTGAAATGCTGTATCGGGAATAATGGTTAACTGTTTAGAATTTAAATATTCGTACGACTTTTAGTTTATCTTTTGCTTTTTATTAACTTAATATATTATGAAATTTATATATGCTAATAATTATTATAATTTAATAATAAATTTTAACTTCAGATTTAACGGTTTCTAATTATAAAAATGAAATATATAATTTTATACTTTATTTAATCATTATATTTATCTAAACTCAATTACGATTATATATTTACTAATACATTATATCTATACATTGTTCAGGTTTCTAGTTTACATTTTTTTTTTGTGTAGAATTAAGTTTAGTAATAGGGATCTTACACTTCCATTAAAATATAGGATTACACGTATTCTGAAGATATTTCTTGAAGATCGGATATACCACAAATCTCCATAAGGCACTGCAAACATTCTTTATTGAATAGATATTGCATGTATATACTCGTTTATTAAATAAAACGAGATTTCGCCTAACACTATTCTAACCAAGTTTCTTAGGTTTGATTGATCTGCGTTGGTTTTTTTAATTGAAGCATTGTAGTAGTAACTGACATTATATGTCGCTTATACGTACATTGACACAAATATTTGAAATGACCGATCGAACATATATCCTTGGATTCTTTATTTTTAAACTCAGACTGAAAATATTGATATGGATTATCGGGTCAAACATGCTAAACCCAGTTTGACCCTCTCCAAAATATTACCAGAACAAATGATCTGACCCGACCCATCTTAACAGGCGTAGTGATCATAATGGTTTTTCACGATTGATGCTTTTAACACCCACTCGTACCATTGCACCCTAATAACGAACAGATTGTTCGTAATAGTTTGCTTGCTGAGTTGAACTTCTTCTTGCTTGTGAAGTTCTTCTAGACGTTTAGGTAAGATCTTTAATATTATCACTGAATTTCCTGCCAGGAAACAGATATCTTTGAGTCTCTTGAATTAAGCAGAACAAATATTCAGAATATTGCGATCGATGTTGTGTTGTTAATACTGTTGATTACTTGAATACCACATTATAATAATCCATCATAAATTATTAGGTATAGATGACAACGCAATGATTTCTCGAATTATATCTTTTGTTTTAATTCTCCTCTGAGCAAATAATCCAATAATTTCTAGTGCTAGTTGTGTTAGTTTTGACTTTCATTCATAGATATGGTTGTTAGGTTGCAGGTAATAGAACAATTCTTGAATACTGAGAATGTCATTATATCTTCTATCTTCGATTGTGACTCGAATGTTACCGCTGGATCTTGGATAAAAAACTAGTTTTGATGAAAAGGTCGGTGTCATTGTCTTTATTTAAGAGATTGATGATACAATCGAACTGGTAGGAGGGCTTTCTATAGATATGTTTTCTGTTTGTAGATTTGACGATGCTTTAGGTTTGTTCAATGCTTCGTTATACTTTAGCCCATACTTTTATGCTTCTTTATAATAAACATCTGCATTATTCATTTCTTCTAAACCTTTGTTGATGTCACCACATTCTAAATTAGCTTCGGCTAGGCCTGAGCCTAAATTAATCAATTACTTTTTGATAGGAATCCAACGCTATCTTTTGATGACCATCAGATTTTTGTTTTCTAGCGTATATTAAGTGGGTATAACCTTTTCGTAATGGTTGTCGAACATATTTTTTTAAATTATTACTTTTAAGAAAGGATATCTCAACAACTGAGTCGTTACTCATTCTTCTGTAGTCATACTCCTTTGTACAACAGGTATATTACAAAATATGAGATTCTATTACATCCAAAAATTTATACACTTTTTCCCAAAAACTATATACAGTATATAGTAAAATAAACAGAGATGTCAGATTACCGGCTTGTCTTGTGAAACTCATATTGTATCAGATTAAAAATTTTAACGCAAACAAAAGATAACGTAGATTTATGATCAGTTTTCATAAATTACGAATCAAGCTTAGATTTCTTTCCACAAACTATTTACGCTTCATAGAAGTTCAGTGATAAGAAAAATATCCGATTCATTGACGCTTTGTGATTGTAAAAGGTGTTTATATATTCGTATTTTGGCTCAAATTTTCACCATCTGTCCGAAACTTTGTACAGCATCAGAAATCAGCCGAATGTGGGAATATCTCTGGACAAAATAATCTTGGGTATTGTTATCAACGTGGAATTGGAATCACTCAAAACCACGAGAAAGCAATTTATTGGTATCGAAAATCAGTCAAATGTTGATATATCGTATAGGCGCGAAATAACGCGCACCTACACGCTATTAAAGATACTTGCGCGTTATTTTGAGTACGCATGTGCGTTATTTAAAGATAAAGGATTGATTTTTTAGACCTATTATATTAACGTCTGATAGATACAAGTTATGATTATGAAACTGATGAAGAGAAGGATTTTGAAAATAGAAAATAGGATTTAGAAATGAATTTTTTTATACTGAATGATATATTTTATTATATAATAAAGTTTCAAACAGTTTTTCTAATTATTATATTTTATATATAAATGCGCGTTATTTTAAAATAAGAGTTTATTTTTTTAAAAGAGCCATTTTCAAAATAACGCCCATGGGTGTTATTTCGCGCCTATACGGTATCCCTTGACAGAATATTCTTGAGTATTATAAATATGGAAATGGAACCACTCAAAACACGAGAAAGTATCTTATTGGTAGAAATCAGCCGAAGGTGGAATGACTCTGGAAAGTAAGGCTTGGACGTTGTTTCTATATGAATTGAAATTCAAAAGGCGAAGAGAAAAGTATTTTAGTGGTACCAGAATGGGAACATCATGCACAAAATAGTCTAAATTGAAAAGTGTATGTAAATTATTTTAAACGGTACTATAAACGACTACCATACCGATAATTCAGGAAATCATCGTGAAATAGCGAGAATAACATGAATTAATTAGACAGTTATTATGTAGATAATAACTTTATAACATGCATTCGTAAGTAGCGTTTATCGAGTTTGTTTTGATATATAATCTACATCTATTACTGTATATAGTATATTTTGTCTATTTGTCTATTTTCGTCTATTTAGTTTATTTCAAGAATTGGTATATTTTAAATACACATAAAAACGATGAGAATCTTGAGTTGAATAAAGTGGAAGTTAGAAGTTTTTGTTAAAGAAACAAGTCTAAAAATTAGTGAGAAACCGTGAATTACAAATTTTTGAATATGTGATAGTTTATGATGCGTTTATGACAAGTATTTTATGAGTTTTTTATTAGATATTGTAAGTTTTCGAATTAAATAATTATGCATCTAAGCCTTACCTTTAGTTTCTGTATTGTACCCAGTACAATATTAAAAATGGCTTAAGCTTGATCTTATTAAGCTAGAACGGGCAGAATAACCATGGAAAGATGTTATCGAGATGGAATCAGAACTATTGTCGTGGGCCACATTACTTGTCGCTTCTTCGGTTCACAATAAGGTAAGTTTCCCTAACTTTTGAGGCGTGTTTCCGATTTGGTCAGTCTTCTCACTTTAACTTCTCTACTGACTAACCTAGAGCCCTTCCAATGTCTATTCCCTTAGGAAAACCTCAGTTCTCTCTTGAGTCGCGTAGCCCAAGTTATAAGTCTACTTTGGCACACTTAAACACAAGGTAAGAGTTTCTCTTTAAAACGCTACTTTATTGTTTATGACTTAATGCGTTACTAACTAAACTAAAATTCTCTCTACATGCTACTGAATTGCGCATGTACAGTATTTATACATGCGCCTGTTATTTACAAGTTTACATCTGATCACTATTCTACATTACTCTAGAAATTTCCGCCACTAAACTTTCCCACGCCTTAATTTGCCCACCTCTAACTTTTCCCACTGGAGATTTCATTACGTGACGCGACGGCGTGTCACGTTACTGCGCCTACTTTTTACCCACGACGCTATTCAAAATTAGAAGAAAATTACTGGTTAAAAAGTCATAATTTATTATGAAATATTTATTAATATTCTTTAACATGTTTGTAATGAACAGTTATTTCTAAAAATAAAAAGCAATTGTTTGCTGGTTTATACCAATTAATAATTTTACATCAATAGACATGAAAAATAGCGATAAAAAAATAATTTAAATAAATACTCATCGCAAAAGTAAGACTAAAGTATATTTACAAATAAGTAACTCTAATTAGTGATTGAGTTGATCAGTTAACAGTTGACTGACTGAGTTATTGACTAGGCAATCAAATGAATAAACTTAATCATGTATGTTGTGGGGTGGGTAAATTTGAGTAATACATAATTTAATTTTTGATTTGAATTGAAGAAAATTGAAATTATACTGTATATTCTTGAAATTCAGTGGTTTTATGAAGGTTTTTATTAAGTATAATAGATACATTACATCTGCTTGGCTTAAGAGAAGATTACTTGAGTAAATTAAAAGGTTGTTAATGTTATTAAGATTTTTTTTGTTTGATTGAAGTTTAGTTTCAGAAAGTCCAAAGATGTCATAGTTTTTT